TAAAATTGAAGTTCCAATTGCTTCATCCATCTTTTTTCTCATACAATGATCTCAATGATTTTTCTTTATCAACCAACAATCTAAAGAGAACAGGAAATTCTTCTTTCAAACATACATTCAAACACCATTTGTCTTTCCAAAATTTTACTCTATGTCTATCCCCGACCTTAATAATCAGATTGTTCGAAAAGAACTCCCATAAATTGCTTCTGTGCTTAGCTATTGATAAGATGCTTTTCCATACCTAAGACTGTCTACCGTTTGGACTAAAAGATGAGAGCTAGCCACTTGATTCCAAGTTATATTTGCTACAAATTATCCTCCTCCACAAAGCCTCCAGTTCAATCCCAAATCTCCACCACCACTTGATTAATAAGCAGGCATTAACCTCTCTCACTCTCCTGATGCCAAGCCCACCTTGATTCACAGTTTTTGTAATTTTTTCCCTTTTTACCATATAGAGTTTTTTTTTCAAATCAGATCCCCTCTCTGAGAAATCTGGCCTGAAGCTTCTCAAACTCTCTAGCTACCCCTTCTAGCATCTTAAATAGAGATAGGTAACAAATAGGCAGATAGGAGGTCACAACTTTAATTAGAGTGAGTTTACTTGCAAATGATAGTAGCCTTCTCTTTCACCTAGCTAACCTGCTTCTGACTTTGTCCAGGATTGGTTTCCAAGTTGCTTTCCTATTTGGATTAGCTCCCAAGGATAGCCCCAAGTACTGAATAGGCAAGGATTTGGTCCTACAGTTTAATGTTGCTGCAAAGGATTTAATGACCTCCTCTTGCATACCAACTCCACACACCAAACTTTTATGATAGTTAATTCTCAAGCCTGAGATTAGTTCAAAGCATCTTAAAATCCTCTTTAAGTTACAAACTTCATTCTCCTGTGCCTTACAAAATAATAGTGAATCATCTGCAAATTGAAGATGGGACAACACCATACCATTAGCACCAACCTTTACACCTTTAATGATGCATAATTGTTGTGCTCTAAACAATAGAATGCTGAGACCTTCTGCCTCTAGATTGAATAAAAATAGAGATAAAGGATGGGATTTTTGGTGAAACCCCAATTTTGGGCCTTTTTATTAAGGTAAAGGATAATCCAATCAATTTTCTTTCAAAAAACCCCTGAATAGGAAATGCCTACTTTAATAAGAACATTTTATAATTTCTATTTTTTTTTATCACAATATTTCCCTTCAATATATACGCATCAGACTTTTGAGATATTTGAAATCTGGGCTGAAGATCTCGTAGGAACAAAATTAGGAACGAAA